GAAAAAGGAGGAGGAAGGAGTATTAGGTATGCTCGCCGCCTTGAGTTATTTATAAAAAAATAATAAAGGCGGAATAAAAATCTAATAATAAATAAAAATAAAATAAATATGTAAGTAGGCTGATTGCCTTAGCATATAGAGTAGAGTCGAGTAGAGTCTGACACGCTCTCCAAAGATTTAAATCAAACATTGCTGTGTAATTCTATGGAATTACTGATTTTACTGGAGAAACAGACTATAGGCTATCACTCTTTATCCCCTTATTTTCTAAAGGGGCTGGTATAATATTTCCTAGACTTTAGTTTAGACTAAAGGATCAACTTAGAAATGCAAGGAGCTCTCACTGAAATGGCCCCTGGAACTTCTGCAGGCTATAAACCAGAGCATGAGCTAGACCTGGTACAAAATTCTATAAAACAATTCAGTGACTCCATTAACAATGATGAACCTCCTAGAGTCTGACAAGTAGATGACATATCAATGTTGGTAATAAATAAATATTTAAATGTTTTTGTTCTGACATATAAGAAACGTTTACCTGTGAAACTTGATTTAAATCCTGGTGGAGGTGGTACTTGATAATCCTGACTATTTGTTTTAAATCCTGGTGGAGGTGGGTTTTGATAATGTTGCTCATAGGCTCCTGAATGTACATTAGGGAAATTATACTGTTGTCGGTTATCACAGAGGAATAGCTTGTAGATGCCAAAAACAAAGACAACAAATAATATTACCAGGATCACTCCAAACCCCAAACCAAATGAATGAGAAATTGCAGAATAGTGGGTCCCAGCAAAGGTGCTAGCTTTTTGCTGTCCTTCCTTAGTTAACTCTAATGTGTATTCCAAGCCACATGATCCTTTTAAAATGAAAGGGTCATCTGGGTAATCGTAGCCTTCACAGCTGACTTCAATTTTTCCAAAGTGATATGAAGTATCCAAATGTGCTTGACACTCCCACTGAAAATAAAAGAGAAATTATTATTTTTTCTACAATAAAATATATAACAAAATTGAACACTGACTTAAAATGATATACTATTTTAGTAATTTTATTAAAATATAATAAAACTCCTTTTTTCTAAAAAGTTGTAAAGCCTCCCAAGCAAGATTTAAAACTTAATAGAGCTTGAAAGACAGCACATGAAAACACTGCCAGACAAGAACTCTAACTGAAAAAACTTGTTTCATAAACCTGTTTTGAGGGAATATGGATTTATTTTAGTTTTCTCCTGTTGCCAATGTGATTGGTACTTTCAGGTTGTTGTCCCAACAGTTCTTTATTTTTAACTACTTGCATCTTCCTGGAGTCAGAGAGTTTTGCCTCCTCATCCATGATCATTCTTCTCCCCTTAAAAACCAGCTATTTAGTCAATTTTGCATTTATACAAAAACACTCCAGAAGATAACACATTTTCCTTCATGTAAGGAAACATACCTGCACATCATAGCCATCCCAGCCTTTGTTGTAACACTGAACAACCTCAGGGGTGTATGCTGTGCATCCAGCTGAGCCCCCCGTACACTGCAACTGGGGCACTGGAGATGTCCTCCGATAATTTGTGTACCTGCCCCGGTGGAGTGTCAGGGCTTGGACTTCTCGCAATAGGATTTTCTCTGACAGAATATAAGTTATATAATAGATTTAGGAACACTATGCAAGATAATGAATATATATTTTAGGATTTTTGCGAGTTTATTAATGGCTAATAAAAAAGTTCTCAGAATAATTCCTGTTAAGTTGTATGATATTTTGATTCCTTATACAGTAGTAATCCCAAAAGCCATTTTAACAAAGAATATATCTGAGAAAAGTTAACATCTATGCTCTGTAATTAATTTTGCTTTGTTGGTTCACCAAATATCTCATATAATGAAGTATTCAACTAGAAGTTTTCAGAAGTTCACAAGCAATACATAGCTACCTCTCCCTGTTTGCTTAATATATATACTCAGGAATTTGTGAATAAAGAGCTTCCATTTGGTCATGTCCTCTGCACTTGCTTAGGAAAAAAGCCCAGTGAATACAGTGATTGGGTTCACACATCCCACAAATCACACTTTCTTTCAAATCTATTTTACAGAATAAACCACAAGTACAGTAATGGTTAAATCCTAAATCAGCGTTTACACATCCAAATGACTATATTTACACATTGCACTAGGCCAAGCCCACAACATTCACATCTTTTGTAACCTGCCATAACCCACTGATTCTGGGCAGTTCACAACAGAGTAAAAATGAAAGCGAAAATACAGACACCAGTTACTCAACATCCCCTGCAATAGTGCCCTGAAACACGATTAACCATTTAATCGTGGTTAAAAACATACTGCAAGGGTGTTGTTTATGGATTAATGTGACATGTGAACCTAGCCAGTGTGTCTTCGAAGAAATCTGCAGCATTTGGTTGCAAATGACAACAGCTACAAATGGCTTCCAAAATGTCTTAGTAATCAGGCCGACACCCATTAGTTCATGGCACTTCCCATAAAAAGCTTCTCGGAAACGCTATTTTGCCAGGAAATGACCCTTCCTCCCCAGAAAGCTGCTGTTTCAGCGGCGAACCCCCCCCCCCCCACTAGACACAAGCGTCAAGTCACTGACGCTGATAGCAACGACCCCTCCCCGACCCTCGTGAACCGAGAGGCAGGCTTCCGAAAGAGGTTCGCCCGCTGAGCCCATGGCTGGCCTGGCCTTACCCTGCTGTTCCCTGCCCAGCGCTAAATGTGCTCCCGTCAGCACCACCAACAGCGGCAAAAGCAGCCGCCCCAGCGACGCCTCCATTTTAGCACTTGCACGAAGCGAAGCGAAACGCCACCGCTCGCATTTCCTCCACCTATGGCGACGGGCCCCGCGACTCCGCCCTCGGCGACAGTGATTGGCTCTCCGGATTGCCTTTCCAGGGCGAGCGACCGTTTCGTCAGCTGGCGATGAGCCCCGGCAGCGCCATCTCGGAGAGGGGCGTGTTCGGTGCGCGCGGAGCTACTGAACGGGAGGAATTTCCTATGAGGACAATGGAATTGTAGGAAAGCCTCGCTCTCGGGCAGCCATCCTATTGGTCCAAAGGCGCCGCTGCACGAAAATCTGCGTAACAACAGAATCTATGTACTGTACGCCCAGAGCAACCAATGGAGTGGGTGATCGATGCTTATCATCGGTTTGCCCTCTTCCGGTGATTCATCGGGAGCAAAGAATGTTTTTACTTCAAAGCTGTGTTGCACTTCTGAAAACAAGTTCGCTGTTCTGATAGAGTATCTAAGTTATTCTCTGAACCCAAACAAGAAAATCTTCCAGCCTCTTAAATAACAAACGCGTCGTGGCAAGAACTTTCATTAGCCAGAACCTAGTGAGTCAAGGCTAGGATTTCGAACGAGGTCGCGATGTAAAGATTGCTAAATGACTAGGGAAGATCGGTCCTGTACTTTTTAACAGCCGCTTGATTACAGTTTGTTGAATGAACAAACGCCATTTATTTCGAAATGCTTCCTATCGAGTAGTAGATTACTTCTGAGTAAAAGGACATTACATTTTAAATCATAATATTTCTTTATATTACAATCTTTATAACCCTCCCCGGTTCCAACAGAGTCTGACCAAGGTACAAAAAAGTGCAACAGACAAAAACCAAAGTTCAATGTAAACAGCTAATTATAGTTAAAGGCCGTTAATAAACATCATGGTTGCCCTTAAAATTAAACCTAGGACTAACTGGGATCAGATTATTGCGGTTATCAATCTGAGGTATGCATGTTCACTTGGAAGTACTGTAAGCATAATTGTGCTTTTTTGGACTTCTGAGAAAACAAAAACAGGACTAATAGAAGAGAATATGTGTAGATCAGGGTTGAACTGTGGAGTCCTTTGTGTTCTCTGAGCTTGGTTGTTTTCTTGCAAATGTTTCATTACCCAGCTAGGTAACATCTTCTGCACCAACTGGGTAAGGAAACGTTTGCA